CAAAATGTATCAGGCATAGCACATGATAGCCAAACTGCAGTGGAATCTCTCACAAATCCAAGGACTAGTTTTACACTGAAGGAATGTGCTGTCTCATTTATAAGGGAGTGTCGGGATCTAAATGTAGGAATTACCGTAAGTAAAAATAACTCAAACGTGTTGGCATGTACATAACTGAATACACACATACAGTATATAAGTGTGCTCATTTGCATTCAAACAGGCATTTGTCAGTAGTAAAGTGGGCGAGAATGGACAAACCCAGCTGGTTCTCAAGGGATTATAAAAGTAATAACTGGACAAAAAGGCAGAAAAACGCAGGAAAAAAAAACTAAAATCATTCTTTGGTTGAATTGCTCATTGCTCAGTTAAATTTGTGGTTCCTTTTAAAGGGCCATAGCAGCCAAAAAGGCTGTTAACCAATGTAATAAAAACATGGATGGATTATGACATAATGAGCCCCTTGACACCGACATGTAAAAAGCCACCCACTAGCAGCCCCACACTCAAGATCTTTTTGTGGTGACATTTTTGTAGGTCTAATATAACTAAGCTGCTGAACAATGTGATCAAAGCATCCCCACTTTTGGCTGAGCTCTCTGGCTGTCCATCAAGAAAAGGTAATAATAGTCACTTTATATAGAAGCACAGGCTTAACGGTCTCCTGGGCCTGGAGGTCCTGTTTAGTAATCCATCCACGAACAACTTTTCATTGCTTTAAACAAAAATTAGTAAATATGGAAAATCATCAGGTATTTCTCATACACAATGTTCTGTGTAATATTACATAATATTTCTCTATGAGTGAAGATTGTGAGTGAGATGTACCTTTCTGGAAACCTGTATTAACTTGTTTTTCCAGCTTAAGGTAGGTATGTTTTTTGTCCACTAACCATCTTCACATTTATGTCTTTACATACCCTCACACGTTGGAGATGTCTAGTAGTTTTTATTTGTTTGTTCTGTTTTTGTTTGTTTGTACTGTTGAGGAGTTCTAACGTTGAAGAGCAATAATAAAATACACAACCATCTATGCCAATATACACTATAGGTTGTGTTGAAGTTTGAGATATATTGAAGAAATAATATCTTTGGTTGAACTCTTAAAAGATGGAGATGAGGAAAATGAGGAAAAACCAAACAGTGGGCATCAGCCTGATACGCAGCTCTACAGTACATACAGTGCATACATGCACAAACACACACTGTATGTGTGTATAGTTGTATGTGTGTATGTTGTGGGTGTTTGTGTGTGCTTTTTCCAGCAGGACCCTAGATCAAAACCACAACTCATTCTCCCTCCCCATTCCTCTCTCTCTTCCTCCATCTCTCCACCCCCTCTCTCATTAAAAACTGCAGGCCCTGGCTTCTAATTAAATCCCACTTGAAAAGTCTTAAAGTCAGCCTCAGATTGATTCAATTTGCATTTCTGAACAGAGAACATTGCCTAAAAGGATTAATAAATTGGACCAAAATAAAAAAAAGCTTTCTTTCTGCGCCATGCCATCAGAGTTTGTAAGACAACATCCAAAGAGAAATATCCCCCTCCACAAGCGTCTATCCAACATATGCTCTGGCTCTCTCTTGCACGTCCCTCGCAGGATGCCAGCAGAGATGGCAAGTGTGTATCAGGACTCTATGAGTGTGTGCGCGCATGCAAGTCCTTGTGTGTGGTACAAGCGTTGAATCCTCTGAGGCATAGTTGGGAAGGAACACACTCAGTCTGACTCTCACTGTGTGTACATGGTCATGGATGTGTATGCTTGTCTATTTATGTCTGTGTTTGTGTCTGGGTATTTGTGTATGTGTGAGAGGGACGACTTTGTTGGAACGTGCCAGAGTGCTGAAAGTGACAAGGAGACACAGTGAGAAAAGATCCTTGCTCCACTGTCTGTATGTGCAGAAACAGACCACTATGTTGGAGTGGAGCCATTGGCTAGTGGACACCTACAGCAACATGTTTGAAAATCCAAAAACACATTGCCAGCTAAAAGAGCCAGATTCAATTAGCGTGATAAAATGAAAAGAGCAAGCAAGACATTCCAAACAGACCAAAAACTGATACTGCTGCCAAAAGACAAATGCTACCAATATTATGAGAATTTACATTTGCATTAACACTCAAAGATTTGTCTCAAATTTGTACATTTACAGGCTCTTTTTATATTTTCATTAGATGTATCTATAGAAACATGCTAACGTTATAAGTGAAAATTACTTCTGATGACAACTATCAAAGGCACTTGCATCTGCATATTAAACTGTGGTTTATATAAATAATTTGCATGTTTTGAAAGGGGGCCACATTATCCTGCTTATCTCGTCTTGATCTTGAAGCTGCAGGGTCACATATTTTATACCTCTCTTTATAATTTTCTAATCTTCTTGTTTTGAAGTGTTCTAGGTTTATAGTGAGTCTATGGTATTAGTGAAGAACATTTAGGTGCATTTGTATTTAAAAACTGATTTTCAACTACTGTATCTACAGACTTTCACTGACTACACTCATCAGTGTTTCATTTACGAAACAATTTTTTTGAAGCTCACAGAATTTGTTCTACTCATGTGTGTTGTGTGTGGAATTTGCTGAAGCTTGGGAATGCTGATGATGGACTCTCATAGCCTACTGGAAGCTCAGCGGTTAAAGCCTTATTAATAAAAACTAGAACCACATGAAGACCCAGACTCATAGACAGGCACAGAATACACAGTAGGCATAGCTTCACTACACAACAGCTGGTTTGCCTATAATTATGGCAACACAGGCATTTCTCATTTTCTACATCTGATACCAATCTACATGAAAAAGAAACAAAACCATAGAAGTTTACATAATAAAAAATGAAAAACATATTTTTTGAAAAGTGACAAAGCAATAATCATCATTAAAATAAAGATCTGAGAGCTTTAAATTGATAGAGAGCTGTAAAATTGCTAACAAGTGGCACCGTGCACAGAGAAAAGCTCACATACACTGTGATGATGGAAACGCAGTGAGGTATCAGATTATGTGGTCTTGCTTTATATAAAGCAACACTGACCCCTAGTGATAGAGGTAAAATCATCCAGACCTTGATTTTCCTAACGATTGTGTGCATACTGCATATAGGCATGAACACAATATGTTTCTGCATGAGGATGGTGAATACTTAAGTGTGGTACAATATCTCTGAATGAGTGTGTTTCTGTAGGTGTGTGTGTGTATGTTTATGTTATGTATATTTGTTTGTCTTCAAGTTTCCACGTGTGTTGTGCAGGTTAGGTGCATACCTGTTTATTCCTCCACATCTGTACATGGTAGATGAGAGCAAGAATCTGTATATAGTGCATGTACATGAGGTGTGTATGTGTGTGTTAGTGTGTGTGCTAATAATGGTGCCTGGTAGACTGAGGCTTCCTTTGATGCAATGAAGCCCGACAGGCGTGAAACTGGTCCAATCAGGCGCGTGGGAGCTGCCAATTAACCCTTCTCACCGTGTGAAACCAAACATAATTGCCTGGGGTGCAGGGGGCCACTGGGCCATGGCCTGCCCATGGTAGGCTGAAATGGGCATTAACAGTGCTGCCAGGTGACCATTACACACAATTGAACTGCTGGGTGTTTCTTCAAATCACATAGTTACAGTTGCTACCCAAACCTAATTGGCATGGCATTACCAAATGGCCCCTATTTCTGATTTCTACACCTACACAATATATCTGGAATATCATTTCAGATATTGTTCTGTGCCAGGTTTATTACACTACTACAGCCATACTACTGTGATATTTTGCTCCAGTTTCACTCTGGGAATATGGATTATGTTATGTTTGAAAATTAAATGTTTCTATTTGTAGTATATTCTGATGTTGACATAATTCTGTTTAGAATGTTAACATTCTTAACAGGAGCAAATAGTGGTTAACAAGTTAATATTTGTATACACTGATAACCTATTATTCATGCTATTCTCAAGGCAAACACCCCGCCTTTTTAGTCAAATACTCAAACAGTTTAAATGAAACTAGAGCAATGCTCTGTACTGCAGTAATGCTTATTTGTCTTTTTCTCATATTCTTGTGATAAATTAATGACTATGTTTATTAAGTGTGTGAAGAAACGATGGTTTATTAATGAGGCTTTATTTTGTTATCTCAAAAGAAGAACTAAAAAAACTAGAAAAACTAGGAAATGTCAGTATTGTGAAAGATATGTTTAAATTGTAGTAGTATAATTATAATTGTAATCCATCCTTCCATCCATTACCTATAGCGCTTACTCCTGAATAGGGTCGCAGGGGGACTGGAGCCTATCCTAGCTGACATTGGGCGAGAGGTGGGGCACCCTGGACAGGTGTAATTGTAATTGTAGTAGTTTAATGCATTAAACACTGGTCAATTTAATTATTTTTTAAATAGTTTTTTAGAGCAAATTTATGGGGTGCTTACATTTATGTTATATGTTTGTGAAAAATACAAGAGATACAATACAAATGTGTATCTCAAGAGAACTGTTTCAGTGGGGGTATAATGTAGTGACAGATACATACAGTAGATGTTTGTGTGCTAGAGTGTAAAAAAATAACAAAGGATATTTGGGATATTAGATAGATTTTTGTTTACACGGCTCTAAAACTGGATTTTTTTCAATTTATCAAATTGCCTTTTTCACGGTTGAAATACCGTCGCTTGCCCGCCAGGGGTCGCTGACGTCCCTGTCTCAATCCTGCCGCTTACCCGCCTCACTGCCCAACAAGAAATGTTGGCAAAACACCCCCTCCTCATTGTGTGGAAAAATGGCGGACAAGCGCTAAATCCACATCAGAAACAAACACACAGTCACACACGTTACAAAGCAAGGTAAACACCTTTGGATACACCGAGCTAGGCTCGACTTCAGCGTTGAGCCCAGCCTAGCGCTAGTTAGCCTTAGTGTGCTGGGATGCTCTCGTTTTGCTAGAGCTAATATTTATAATCAGCGAGCTAACGAGCCGCCTAGCATGCTAAGCTAGCAGACTGGGCACTGGGCATGTCTGTGTTGCCGTGTACATTGCATGCTTGATGTGGTGTCTGCATGGCTGTGCTCGCTGCATGCATGTTTAATATTCATTCAGCAATATATTTGTCTTGTCTGTGCCCTTGGTGTTACTCTAGTGCTATCTTCCTCCTGAATGACATAATTACCGCTGCTGTCACATAAATGAACATCTAGTGTACGTTAGCGCTCATGCAAATGTAAGTTAGCACATGAGAGGGCGGGGGTGTCCCATGTGTCGGCTTTGTTTTTGAATGGAGCTAAGCAAATTTCGCCCATGTAAAACGCTATGTTTTGGCTGTAAACGGAAACATAACGTTTCATCTTGATGTCAGACGAGTGGCAACTGACAGTAGTCTTCAACAGCCGGTGGATTAGCAACAGGAGGTAGGTGTACCTACTGAGCTCTCTAATCTCTGTACTGTCACTTTCCCAGACGGAAAAACGGAGCGGGTCGCTTTAATTTGGACGCCGTCCCCCTTGGCGGAGGAAAAAGGCGCACTTCTATTGAAAAAGAAATCATCCTAGAAGAAGAAACGCTGCTAAACGGTTATGAAGGTTTAAGGTAGGTGTGCTTATATGAACATGCCCCATCTAAATTACATTGTGGGTCTCTTGCCTTCCCTCTTTTGCTCGCGTGTCTACGCTGGTTAGTTTAGAACAGCTCTCATAATAAAGCTGAGGCGGTTTTAGTGATATTCAAATATTTGGCAGGTGGTTAACAACTGTTGGTCCTCACATAGTAGTTTGACCATGTTTTTTTAATACCCAAGTTTTAAAAGGTCAGAGCTTCGGGTTATTTGGATTTATTTTATGTCACTTAAATGCCACACCGGGACAGTGTTATTATGCGATAAGACATCTAACTACTTGAAGCACTTGTTTATGTAACTTTGGGCTGTTGACCTGTATGTTGTGTTTGCCTGTTGGGTTACAAGAGTCACTGAGCCTGAGCCTTCTCTAATGTATTGTTCACTGATTGGTAATGTAGGTCTTTGGTTCTTATTACCATTGCTAACTCTGAGAGACGAGACAGTCCAAGTAACTTCAAAACAGTGCTGATTTATTCAAAGGATCACAGGTAAAATTAACATTACACGCTCAGGTATCTTGCACCTCCAAACTGCTCGCAGGCAGATGTAAGATGAAAGACCCTGAACCCACCAGGCCTATACATTATATCCCCTCGGTTGGGCTAGCCCCATACTACACAGAAACGTCAACCGAGACGTCTCTGTTACCAGCTTTGCAGCTGGTCATAGCAGTAGTCAAAACATGAAGCAAATCAACATGTGTGTGTGTCTGTTGATTAAGTGGTGTGTAGCTAAAAACATTCTCACATGACCTCTAGTGACATGCCATGACATTAAACATAGGAAATTAACAGGTCTATGACTCACAAAACACACACTGCAGCAAAACAGCACAACCCTTGACTGTTATAAAATATTTTACCTGGTGATTCTCACATGTGTAACTAGAACATTTCAGAAGAGTAAGTTTGACATAATTGGTAGTACTATTTTGATAGCTTTGATTACATATGAGATTACTGCATGGAATTGTTGTGTGAAATAACATTAAAAACTGTTCCAACTGAGTTATACTAACAAAAACAATCAACCAAAATCAATCACTATGATTTTAAGAGATTTTGATTCACTTTTATGGTGATTTTGAAGTGCTGTTTAACTTTAATGTTAATATTTTGACCCCTCCAATTAGTATATCAATTGCTGTCTGTAGGTACAGTCAGTACAGCAAATGTTTTGGTCTTATAAAGAATCTTAAAAGTGAAAAAAGTAAGTGAAATTCATGTGTACTGCATTGTCAGCTTGATTTTGGGCCTCTTCTTTGGACTTGCCGCTGTCTGCTAGTGTGCCATAGCATAACGTTTCTCCCTTTTATCCCCATAAGTAGATTTTACACTGTATGACAGTATCATATACTGTTCATCAGCTTGTTCCAGTCCTTTATTTAAACTGTTGAAATTATCATATTTTAGATCCTATGTGCCATATCTACCCATTTCTCCAAACTTCAAGATACTGGTGTCTTTTAAAAATTTTATCCTGTCACAGCCACAGCTAACATTGCCAGTTCTTGTCTTTTTCACGCACTGGTGTGTGTGGTTCACACAGCTGTAACATAGGTTTTCTGTGTGTTTTCTTGTTTTTAGAGTAGAGGCCAGTGTTGCATTGTGAGCTTGGTCAGTATTGTTGGAGCATGAGGAAACCTGTGCCACAGAAAGGTAAGAAAAGATTATATCATTCATAATATGATAACAAACGTTTTACAAAAATTACTTTAACGAGAAAGTGTTCACAGCAGCTTGTGCATTAAATTGGAAACGTGACAAATTGTAGTTTGGGTTCATTCCAACCAATGCCTTATTTTTGTTTCTGTTAGACAAAGTCGTATATTATCTTGTAATAGTCCTGTAATCCCCTACAATAGGTTGGCGCAGAGATACTGGCAGGAATTGCAAGGTAATGACTGATGAGAAAATCACTTATGTTTGAGAGCTTACTCTGTCTTTCTTGGCCCTGCCAGCTATAGAGTGGAAAGATGCCAGAAGGATCAAGCATGCCCGAAGTGGACGACCCTCCCGGGTTCCCTCACAGTACCAAGGTATGTAACCACAGCAGCCATTGTATATAAAGTAACCTTGGGCAGTTGTGACAGGAAACTGTGTCCAAGGATATGTCTGTGGTGCTGTTTCATTAATCATCAAGACAAAGTTTACTATATGTATTGTCAATAGATTTTAAGCCCTCTGCGTTGTTTTTTTTTTTTTTTTGCTTTAAAAACATTGCACAAAAGCAGATATATATAATTCAACTTAATTTTTACAAAAGCTTGAACACATCTTAACACTACTGTAATATGATATGAACTTCTTCTAAATCTTCTTGTTCTTTTACAGGGCACTTCAGTTGGGAGAAATACTTGAAAGAGACCGGTACCATCGCTGCACCTGCCTCGTGCTTCAGACAGGTGAGCTGATTAATTGGTCCTTGCAGTACTGCATTCATTTAACCTTTTTGTACAAATTTCTTTCCACACTGCTGTCATTTCACTGCCACTCTCCAGCTATCCATCATCATCATCATCTAATATGTCCGTCTGAATCATCTTCTAGAGTACCACACCACCAGTTAATGAGTTCAAGGCGGGGATGAAACTGGAGGCCCAGGACCCACGGAACACCACGTCCACCTGCATCGCTACAGTGGTGGGCCTGACAGGCTCACGGCTGCGGCTGCGCTTGGACGGGTCCGACAACAAGAATGACTTCTGGCGCCTGGTGGACTCCTCAGAGATCCAGCCTATTGGCAACTGTGAGAAGAATGGAGGCATGCTGCAGCCACCACTTGGTGAGGACTCACACACAGTTGTGCTTTCATGTTGATGTTTTTCATACTGTAATGAAACTAAAGGCTACCTTTATTGAAGTTTTTCAACCTGAATTCACAGTATTTTTTTCTTTTTAATGACTTTTGTCCACTAGATGTCAGTGAATGACAACGCAGAATGTCAATATGTCAGTAACTTCCTGTTAGATTATAAAGCCACCTACCCAGGGCATTTATGTATTGAATGCCCATGTTAAAAGACATTCCAAAATATTCTAGAGCTGCAAACAATTCTTCTTATTAATGAATAAACTACTAATAGATTTCTTGATTAATAGTTCTATTAATTAAATGTTGTGAAATTATGAAAACAAAATGCTTATTTGATTTGATTTATTCTTTCAAGCATGTAAAA